CTTATCTTTTTCAATGCACAAGTGCAAGTTAACATTGCTAAGTACCCACGGCCACTGTTAATTTGCATTTTTAACTACCTGAGGTGCAAGTGAAGTCAAGTAATTCCATGTCCACACTACCTAAACTGCACAATAACTGAACTTAACATTGCTACAGTGATGTAGCAGTTTATCTACAAAACCTAAATGCAGAAGATGTGTCCAGTCTTTGAAATTCAGTCCTAGTGAACAAACTGGCAAAAGGTATTTAGAAGTCTAAGGATACAGGTAAGTATCTAAAGAGATTTTTAGAAGCATATAGGTTTTTCTTTGCAGGACAAAGCATTTTTCAGATGTTTGGCAGATAAGTTTTTTTGTATTTAAACCTTCATTTATTCCTGTGTAAAAGTGCAGCATAGATCTACTTTTAAGAACAAAGATTAATTTTCAAAACCAACTATGAAATATTTTTTTAAAATACTGAATTAAATGCTTTTGATAAATATTTATAAAACATCAGAGGGTCTGGCTAAATGCTAACATTAAAAATATATTTATTATCCCTAAGAATTGTTATAGTCACATGAATGCAATTTTGTTGTAGGCAAAAAGATGCATCACTGAGGCAGAGACCACTGAAGAGATTTTCAGCGTGGGGTGAAATTTATGTTTGTGTTGAGAGCCAACCCAGGAGCCAGACACTGCCAACAAATGTCTTTACTCTGAAAACACTTTACTAAGGATAAGAACCAAATATATTGCAGGTGACATTCTCTATTGTGCAGGGGTCCTACACAGGTCTCTGTATTATACAAGTCCTACTTAAATACTGTTCCAAACTTGCACAAATCTACTGCACGGGCAAGAAAGTTCCCTTGAAAAAATTCCTTGAGCCCTTTGAAAAGGATGCAGTTTAGTAGCATCTATCACAGTTTCTCAAGCAATACATAAATCTTGTGTTGGCCTCTGCACAGGGGTAGGCACACCTTGTAGATTATTTCTCCTGTGTTGTAGAAATATTGGAAAATCCTACAGAGCTTAAATTCACATTATGCAGGATGGGTTGAAATTGTGTATATATAAATTTCAAGACAGTCTGTAAACACATTAATTACTGAAATGTTTTAGCTATTGACAGCTTCTGGCCCCATGCTGAAATCCTCATTCCACTGAAATAATTGAGAGACATTACTGACCTTAGTGAGGACAATATGTCAACCCATCTTTTCAACTGTAATCACTAGCCTTTCTTCTAACCCAATCTCTACCTCAGACTCCATTAGTGAGATTTCTCAGTGTCAGACTTCTCAAAACCCTCTCCCATTCTGAGGAAAAGGTTCAAAACCATGGGAATTACCCAGCATCCTCACCTGATTCACAACTGTGAATTTCAAGGCACATATCCTCAAAAGAAAAGGATGGCAGTTACCCCAAATGCTGCTTACACACCAACAAATTCCTCTGCAATAGTATTGAACTGTGCCCCATGTCTGCACTCAAGATCTTGGCTCCTTGGCCACATGCACCCAAGCATCACCTCATGGGAAAGAGCTGCCCAGACCTGCAGATGATATCAAAGACTGAGAATATCAAAGTAGGATTCTCCAAAAAGATTATCGTGATCTGGGAATGGACTTAGTGGATCCAATTCACTAAACAGTGTTCCTTGGTCATTCTTGAAGAGTACCTAATTTGGAGAAAATCCTAAAGACTTGGAATTCAGAATCCTCAGTCACCACCAACAAAGCTGAGTATTTCACCAGTTATTTTCATGGCCATGATACTTAAATAACTCAAACAGGAGAAAATGAAAGAGCTCTGTGCCATAACTCTCAAGAACTTTAGAGCAGAGCTGTCCAAACCTGAAGATGGTTCTCATCTTTGATCTAAATCAGAAAATCAGTGAAATCATCTCGCCTCTCTCTTTTTCTAGTGAAAGTTCTAGTCAGTCTGCTGCTAACTCTAATAAGGTACATGAACCTTCTTTTGATTGTGCTTGTACTTCACTTACACTCTCTTCTTTCTACCCTTCCTTCATGGAGCACAGCAGTATATAATTACGAAAAGAAAAAAAGTCAAGGAAAGATATTTATTTCCCTAAGAGTAATCACTTCTTCTGGAATGCTTGTTTGGGACCATGGGTCCCTGTGTTTTGAAGCTTCCATTGTGTTCCCCTTAGTGTTACCCCCACCCCCCCCTCCACCCCCTTATACTGTGTAGTGGACAATTTATTCAAGATTCGGGATCCTTCCTTGTGCCAAAACCCCAAGAAATTCTTCTTGGCTACCCCCAATCCACCCACTATGCAACTTGGGCTGCTTCACACTTTTTTTTTTCTGAACCTTTCTAGTCCAGCTGTTTTGAAGAACTAGTTGGCACAGACCTCATCACCTGTCCTTTCATATCTCTTCTCCCTGCCTTCCAACTGTTCTTGCTTTCTGGAGCCATCTTTTTCTGACATCTGCCTTCAACTTCCAGATTCTCAGCCCCATGACTCTTGGATATTTTTCCCCCTACATGGAGGACATGACCTGCTTCCTATGCAACAGTTTAACACAGCATCGTGTCACTCCACTCTTCTCACTTTGCAGCAAAGGTTTCTCTTGACTGACTCTATCCTTACAACAAACAGAATGGAGTTCAAGCCATATGATGGACTTTAGATTTGTGACTCAAAATGAGACTATCTGCTCCCTAATGCATATCTTTCTCAGTGATTTCTGTGATAGGAAACTAACTTTGTTATGTGGCGCTTCAATCTAGATGTCTACATTTTGCTGAACAAAATTAGAACGCTTGTTCTCAGGTTATGCCTGTGACGACAAATCGATTTATGCTGAACTGGTGGTTGAACACTGAATGAATTCTGAAGTTCACAGGTTACTTCTAAGCAGTTTTTTGCAGGTCTAAAAGGAGAGCAAGTTTTAAAATGTTATATAGCAATATAATTTTGTAACAGCTCTAAAAGAAAGCCCAGACAGAAAAAAAAAAAGTTAAAACATGTGGCACTGGAACTATTTTATGACAATGATGATTGTGTTTCATTGTTTACTTCTAACAAAAAAATCATCATTCTTACACATAGCAGAGTGTAAAAATAGGCCCTGACCATGACCATACTACAGTCATTCAGTACCACATATTATAAATCTTCCTAATCTTGCATTGCAAATGTTTCATGTCCATGCATGGCATTTGGAGAACTCTGTATTAGAGAGACCATTAAAGCTATTTCCTTGCCCTTCACATTTTAAGAATGACTTCAAAGGTCATCGTTCATGTCACTGAGGGTACATGTATTTAACAACAAACAAATGAGGGGGCTCTGGACAGCTTAGGTGATTGCAACATGAGAAGTGCAACTTGAAGTAGTAACTTTAACAACCACTCAATTTTTAAAAGTGAAGCTAACCCCTGCTGCGCCGCCCCAAAGATGAGCACCACCATGTCCTCATAATTATGTTTGCAGAAAAAATTAAAAGTTGTGTAGCACCTGAGGTTTGTGTCAGTTTTCTGCCTAAGAATAAATTTTATCTGAAGCAAATCACATGGTTGAAGTAGTGTGATATTGGTTTTAAATACGTGTCTTTTCCAGTGGCTGCAGACCTCTAGGCTTGGTCAGGCTGCTACTGAAGCTAATTTTGTGGTTTGGCAACCAATTCCAATGCCTTTTAGTGAGTGTCAAAAAAAAAGAACCCAAACCTGACAACAGCCTTAAAAAATGCCTGTAGTCTACTAACGGTCTCACGGATGTGACACACATTATGAATCAACCCTATAAATCTGTCCCACAGAAGGATTTATTCTGGCTTGAACGGGAGCTCCAAGAGAAGAAGTTCCTCAGGATCCAAATCTCTCAACCCAAAAGAGGCTGTTCCTCAACTGCCTTGCAGCCAAAGCGAATTACTCTTGGGGCACGGCCTTCATGTTCCCACTTCTCCCGGATAAACTTCCACGCAAACCGAAGAGGCGGGAGGGCGGAGGGATCCCAGTCCTCCCCGCTTCCCCCTGGTTTTGCCGCGGTGGCACCAGCGCGGGTCAGTGCCGGCGGGTGCGGGGGCCGGCGGGAGGCCCCTGCGGCGGCCCCGGCCACAGCCCGCCGCCTCCCGGCGCCGGCCGGCTTGGGCGGCGCTCCTCCGCGGCGGCCGCCGCTGCCGCCCTGCGCGCCCAGGGGGAACGCGGGCCCCGCCGCGCTCGGAGCAGGCTGACACCCGGTTCATCGCCGCCGCCATGCAGCGAGCGCGCTGACAGCTCTGCGCCGGCTTCGGGCTGCGCGTCGGGAAGCTGCTCCACGGGCTGCCGGGGGAAAGGTGCGCTGTCCTCACGGCCCCGCCGCGAATGCGCCCTCCGCGAACAACGGCACTTGTTAAGGAGCCCTCCCTGGCTCGGGGGTCAGGAAGAAGGAATTCACCGGGTGGGAATCGGGAGGAAGGAAAACGAGCCACGAGCGGGAGGATCGAGCAGCGGCAGCTGAAGAAACCGCCCGGTGCCTCTCCTGACAGGCTGCGACGCGCAGCGCGGCGGGCGCTTCCAGACCCCCGTCGTAAGCGAATGGGGCGGGAGGGGGAGCCCAGAGGCATAAACAAGGAGCGCAGGACCTAATTCCTTCCCCTCCCTTTCCTCACTGGCTTGCCCAGGCTCGCCAATAAATCCAGCTCGGCTATACATCGCGATGGGAACGAGCTGCCAAGGAGGCTGCCTTCCCGTCGCTGAGGACGCTGCCTTCCCCTCACTGAGGAGGCTGCTGCCGCCGGGGCTGCCTGCGCATCACTGAGGACGCTGCTGCTGCGGCCGAGGTTGCCGTGCCCTCTCTGAGACAGCAGCAGCTGCTGCCGCCGAGCCTGCCGTGCCCTCATTGAGGCGGCCGAGCCGCTGCGTTACAGGGAGAGATTGTGGCGCTGCGACAGGGGAGGACGGGGCTCGGCGCGCAGGGGGGAGGCGCGGCGAGCATGCGCCGCCCGAGCCGCTGACTGGATCCTCAGCCAAGGCACCGAGGCAAAAAAAAAAAAAAAAAAAAAAAAAAAGGAGAAAGGAAAAGGATTGAGAGAAAGAAGAATGAATGACGGTAGAGGAGAATAGAAAAGACCGCCAGGGTAAAGCAGCCCCCGGTCGGCGGGAAGGAGCAGCTCTGTCATGTGGGGATCTCCGGCACCAACAGGTAGGAGGAGAGGGGCTGGGGGCGCCGAGGGCTGCCGCGGCTGCAGGTGCGTGCCGAGAGGGCTCTCCCGCTCGGGGCTGCGGGGCTCATTTCCAAAGAAGGGGCATGATGGAAGCCCTCAGAGACAATGCCTCTTCCGCTCTGCCCAGCTCCCCGCCGCGGGGGGCTCTCGCACGGCTCCGGCAGATGCGGCTGATGGCAGGCAGCGCAGCCGGGCTGCCTCCAGCGCGGCGCAGTCCAGCCCTGCATGGCCGGGCGTGGGGGAGCGGCTGTGGCCGTGGGTGCGTGTGTCAGCGGCGCCGTGAGTGTGCCAGCGGTGGCGGTGCGTGGAGCGTGCGGGCTGTGTGTGCGGAGGCAGGGCCGGCCGCCGCGGGGACAGCTCCACGGAGGAGGGGGAGCGGCGGGGCTGGCGGCAGGGGGGAGGGGGAGCCTGATTTCATGGTTTTAAAACGATGCCATGATCTGATCAGCCTCTGTTTACACAGCAGCAATCAGGCTCTTTTGTGGACGGTAAGAATGGAAGGATTTTGCTGGGATTCAGTGGGAATATCCTTTGTACACCCGAGGTGGCATAGGAAACACTTCGTGTGAATAACGAAGGAGCCTTGACATGCCTGCTGTGGCTCCTGTCCCTGGCTCTGGAGGGAGAAAAAAGAAAAACAAAACAAAACCAAAAAAAAAATAAAAGCAGCAAGACAGCTCTTTATTTTATTTTATTGCATGAAATCCGGTACGATTCACTGGGAGGATTAACGGGAATCACGGAGCCCTAATTAGCCAAAAAAAAAAAATAAAAAAGAAAAACAGCCACCAATAAAAAGAAATATAAAAATAAACCAACAATTTATATGTTTATTTAAGCATAACCAAAACTAGCTCTCCCGAAAGGGTGGGCATTCTATCTCGGCTGTGCTGCCTATTTTCGCTCAGTATTTACAGTGACCGTTGCTTATTATGAATTATGTCGGGGCTTTAACGATTTGCATTAAAGCACGGGGGAAGGGGGGGAGGCCGGGGGGGACGACACCCTAAAGCATACTGCTATCGACTGTCTAGATACCTGTTTATCTAAAAGGCTAAATGATAAAATTATTGTTTATAGCAGGAAGGGAGGGGGATAGTGAATACTGTTTCTCTTACAAAATGCATAAACTAACACTGTGTGATTAATGTGCTTTGGTGACTTGGGTTAAAAAACATAAATTCTGCAGGGTTTCTTTGGGTGTGATCCATATCAACACAGCAGTTGCCTCTTAAAACATTGACAAATACTGTAGCCATAAAATAAATGTAGGTAATGTCAAAATATCAGCAGTCTTTGGGGATTCTTTAAAAAATATGTCAGTGATTAACTCTTGGGCTTGCAAACTGGGAATCTTTTGATTCATAAAATCTCTGAGGCTTTAACTGTGAAATTATATGTGCTACCAAATATAAGGGGCACTGGTCAGTCATGAAACTGTAACAAGCCAAATCTGCCAATAGTCAATTATGCTAAATAGTCACTACAAAAAAAAAAAAAAGCCTCATGTTTTTTAAAAACAAACAATAGTACTCAAATTTACAACTTCATTTGGTTCTCCATAAATTAACATCTTTGCTAGCACTTTCTGATATCATTTTGTGTTAACTTAAGAACTGATAGCTCGATTTTTTTTCAGATATTTTGATGGCATGACAAATCAGAAAGAAGAGGATGTACTGTATGACTAGACACAAGATCAGTTCTGTTTGTGGATTACATTTTCAGTAAGATGTATGGATCTATTTTTTCCTTGTTCTTAAATATAGATCATGAGACTTGACTGAGGCAATATACATATCATCCATCCATCTATGGCGAACTACAGCCATGCAGCTGACAACATTTTGCAAAATCTCTCTCCTTTAACAGCTTTTCTGAAACTGACTTCACTGGGTTTCATAATAGGAGTCAGTGTGGTGGGTAACCTTCTGATCTCCATTTTGCTAGTCAAAGATAAGACCTTGCATAGAGCTCCTTACTACTTCCTGTTGGATCTTTGCTGCTCAGATATCCTCAGATCTGCAATTTGTTTCCCTTTTGTTTTCACCTCGGTAAAAAATGGCTCTACGTGGACGTATGGGACTCTTACTTGCAAAGTGATTGCCTTTTTGGGGGTTTTGTCCTGCTTTCACACTGCTTTCATGTTATTCTGCATAAGCGTCACGAGATACTTAGCTATTGCCCACCACCGTTTTTATACAAAAAGACTGACCTTCTGGACTTGCTTGGCTGTTATCTGTATGGTGTGGACTCTCTCTGTAGCCATGGCTTTCCCCCCAGTTTTAGATGTGGGCACCTACTCATTCATTAGGGAGGAAGACCAATGCACTTTCCAGCATCGTTCCTTCAGGGCTAATGATTCATTGGGATTTATGCTTCTTCTTGCCCTTATCCTCCTAGCCACACAGCTTGTCTACCTCAAGCTGATATTTTTTGTTCACGATCGCAGGAAAATGAAGCCAGTCCAGTTTGTTGCAGCAGTGAGCCAGAACTGGACTTTTCATGGTCCTGGAGCGAGTGGTCAAGCAGCTGCTAATTGGCTGGCTGGATTCGGAAGGGGTCCCACACCTCCAACCTTGCTGGGAATCAGGCAAAACGCCAACACCACAGGCAGGAGGAGGCTACTGGTTTTAGATGAATTCAAAATGGAGAAGAGAATCAGCAGAATGTTCTACATCATGACATTCCTCTTTCTGACCTTGTGGGGTCCCTATTTGGTAGCCTGCTACTGGAGAGTTTTTGCGAGAGGGCCTGTAGTACCTGGGGGATTTCTAACGGCCGCTGTCTGGATGAGTTTTGCCCAAGCTGGAATCAATCCTTTTGTCTGCATTTTCTCCAACAGGGAGCTGAGGCGCTGTTTCAGCACAACCCTTCTTTACTGCAGAAAATCCAGGTTACCAAGGGAACCTTACTGTGTTATATGAGGGAGCATCTGTAAATCTTTAGCCTTGTGAAACACTACCATTCTCTGCTAAGCAATTGTGGCCTGTAGCCATGTCTTGAGGAGAAAATCAAGAATGGGACGTCAGCAGCTGTAAGGATTTGGGCAACATTCTGCAGTCTCTGCAATAGCTCACCTCTAATCCTGTTTTAAACCTAAACATGTTCCTGCTGACCACTGCTGAAGGTTTGTAATTAAGAACAAAGGACTGAACTACTGCCCTGAATTCCTTTATGTGGTTGAAATCTAGATTATGAAAGTAGCAGGTGCTAAGTATCAGTGCTAAATGCTGTGTATATCACTACGTAAAATAAGAACATCAAAAAGATTAGCATTGGACATCTTAATAAATTAAGTTGATATGAGGTTAATGTGTTGATAAAACTAATTTTAGACATCTGAAGACCTTTAAAACATTTCATACAATTATTATTTTGCAAAGACTGAAAACTGGGGACTCAAGTACTGTAACTGATTAAAGATGTGCCATGCATTATTGGATTATCACACTTACAAATCTGTTTGCCTTGTGAGTAAGTTTTGGGGAGCATTCCAAAGTGGTATTTTTTTGTTCAGATTTTGACTTTAATTTTTTTTTCTCCAAATATATTACTCTTTCTAATTACCATTTTCCTTAACAGTGAAATTACTAACATTTAACTGTATTCTGTGTTTTTTGCTGATTTGGTATAAAGTTTAATAGACTCTTATTTATATTTTTTAAAAAGCTAGATATCAGTCTGTTAGGCAACGTTAATGATAATATCCAGTCATAATTGAACAGTTATAATTATACAGAATAAACACATGTTGCCTTAAAGGGTTATCTAGTATCTTCCATTTTGTTTAGCATTGAAGCAAATAAGCAAGGAAAATTAAATCAATAACTCTGGTCAGTCATTTGGGAGTGCATGAAAGATCACTTAGTCCTCTTTTTTCCTTTTTACTCCAATGGTTCCCAAAATCAATATGCACATCACTGGGATTATATGATTTTTTTCTAGGTGTGCCGCCCTTTCTAGTTTGTTCTGAGAAACACAGGCAGTTGATGTATGTTTATATTTTAAGACAGCTGTCATGGGGAGACCGCAGCCTTAGTATGATATCTTGCACAATTTGTGAAGCATTTATTCTACTGAAGGCACAGTCTTGTTTATATTTTCTGCACATTTTGGTGTATTGGTTGTTTTAAATTATTTCAGTTTTAACTTGTGAAAGCATATAATATGATTTCTTAGTATTTTAGAAATACATTAGAGTCTGTGAGTCTTTCCTTCTTTAAGATACAGATGTGTGGATTTCAATATAAAGTTGCATTTGCCAAAATTTACCTGTGTAGCTTGTTAATTTTCTTGGAATAAAATTTTACATTTTTCCAGTTATACAATTAACCTTTTTTATTTTGTCTAGTGAGCTAGCATGAAGTACTGAGAATGTAGCCATTATGAATTATTATCCTTTGCAGTCACTGTATTCCCAAACTGTAAATGCATGAATGATGGGGACCACAGGATTGATAAATGATATTATCTGCAGTAGCACTATTGTGTAGTTTATCATAATTACCCATCTATCTGTTCTAATATGTCAGTTATATTTAAAGTTACAACACAGTATTTGACATTAACTTCACAGTTTAATTTTGGAAAATGTGAATAACTGAAGCACAAAATCATGAGTTGATCAGTCATAAAGAACACAGATTTTTCTTAATTTTGGGAGAGACAAGACTAGAGGTCTGAATTCAGTACTGGTATATCTTGTCCTTTGTTGTAGTTTTATGACCAGCAAGTTAATGTATGCATACACAAGTAGCAGTCAATAATGGAAATGTTTAAATTTGTGTGATAACATTATATAACATATGCAACAATTCAGACAGTTGTGTCTATATGTGATCAGACAACTTGATCAAAGATTTGGTGAGCAATCTGTTTGACCTCACTTACACTTTTATACTGAGGTTGATTGGTGAGAGGCATGGCTTTATATACTGTGTTGAAACAGAAAAATTGCTGAAATAATGAGTCCTCATCAGTATAGGAATGTTTCAGAACGATTTTGAAATGGGACCAATAAACTTCTACCAAAAGGACGTTTTTATTACACTGAAAAAGGCTTTGAAATTAAGGTAGTTAAGCAATTGTCAAAGATAGTGAACAAAAACTGAATCATATGTTGAGAAAAATTCTGAAAGTCATCCCACTTAAGTTTATTAAAAGGTTGATTGGCAATAACTTCAGTCTAATTTCTTTAAAATAGTAACCTTTACAAGGAACATTGATATTACATATTGTAATAAAGAAGTACATATAAATAAAGTTGTAAATAGTATATAGCTGTAGAAGTAGTCAGTTCTGAGGATTAGCCAGAAAATTTTCAACTATGAAATTTCAAAAGCTGCAAATCTGGGGCCTGACCTAACTCCTAATAAAGTCAGTTGGTGTTTTCCCATTAACTTCATTTGGAGCAGAAGCAGGCCCTAGCATTTCTATAGTGCTATACTTCTGAAATACTAAGAAGGCTGTATTTACTATGCAGTGGGGAAGAAAAAAAAATTAAATTATTTCCCTGGAAGTTTTGCAAGGAGCAACTGATGTAAATAAAATAATAAACAGTAAACAAATCTGAAAGCAAATATTTTGATAAATGTTTTTCTTTTGATATGAATATAATTCCTTTGGCTATATGACTATACTGTATTGCTACCTAAGAAAGGGCAGGTAGTTTTTATTAAGTGGATTTTTAGGAATATTGCCAGTAAGAAATCTTGTGACAGAAGTATTTAGTTTAATTTTTCTCCAGTGTTAAAAGGACAAGGGGATGTTCAGTGAAATTAAAAGCCAACATATAAAGTAGTATTTTATGCAGTGTTATTACTCAGTGGAACACACTGATACAGGATGTCAAGTAGTTTAGAGAGATTCCTAAAGAACTGAATGCGTACATGAATTAAAGCAGTGCTTGCACTTTTTGCCATCAGTGTCATTTTGATCCTAGTCAGCATATCAAAACTATGTATTAAGGTATAAATTCAAAGGAGCAAGAAGGTTCATTCCAATTCAGTTCACTGTTGTGTCACAGTATGAAGAGCCTTTTGCTTTCATTTCAGTACAGGAGTTAAGCTATTGCCAAAGCTAGAATACAGGGCTGGTAGATTAGTTCTTTCTTTTCAGAATAGCAAGGAATATCATAGTATTTTATGTCTGCATTGATCTTTAATGTTCACGGGTAATGTTAAGTCAATAGTTTTAATTTTCTGGTGAGAGAGGGAAAAGAAAAAGAACAGATTCCCTGAAAAAAGGCTTTCTACCCCTGTTCCTTTCCTGCCCTCTGTTGCCTCATGGCCCTTCAGCAGCCTCTTCCTGAATCCTTCTACAAGAGCAAATGTTTCATAACTGAGTATTGTATTTCTCCTGCTCCTTGAGAAGTGTCTCAGCCATTTCTCCTCTCCAGCAGATAAGCTCCTGCAGCAGCTTCCCAGGGTTTGTCAGTGTCTGGGTTCCCTCCCTGAGGATGGAGAGGCACTGCCAGTTCCTTCCAGCTGCCTTTGTGGTTCATGGGTCTCAGGGCACTTGGCTAGCACACTGGGCATCTCTGCCTTCTGCCTTTGCTCGTCAAGTAGATGCTGTTTGTATCATGCAAAGAAAAATGAGAATGGGGAGGGGGCAGCAGGAAACAACTTTCTCTCTCACAAATTTTTCACAAGGAAACCGCTGTTTTTGTTGCGTTGCCCAAGAGCACATTGTATTTTAAAAGCATAATCGGTGTTAATTATCCTCTAAATGAATAAAATATACAGTTAGCCAATTAAATTAAGGTTTTTGGTACAACTAAAAGGTCTTATTAGGAAATGGCTTTTTGTCAGTCTCTAAGCCTTCGGGGGCAGGGTAGTCCACTCTGTCTGTCTGCTTTTAAGTGCATTGTGTTTGTTCACCTGTTTTGCTTTGACTTTCAATCTCAACATTTTATTTTATATTAATAGGAATCCAGTAATGCAGCAGGTTTTTATCACTCATGGGTTTAAAGAAATAATATTAAAGTAAACTCTGATGATTTTTGTGGTGAGTTAGGGAGGTATTTTGGCAAGTAATTGGTTTTTAGCAAATGTTAAATAAACCTGCAGGCTGCTGGGCTCTGCCATGGTTGCACAGTTGCACAGTCAGTTCTTAATTATTGAAACTGGCAATGGAATAGACTAAGCCACATAAAGCTAACACACAGATAATACAAAGCATGTCCACATTAGATAAGAACTTCCTATGTGTATTACATTTATCAAGGAATGGAGTTAAACTCAAGCAAAAGTGAGATCAGAAATCTGAAGAAGAATGGTGGGTGTTTTTCCTTTTTTTTCTGCTTTGTTTTAGCATAGCACTGCTAATCTGCAACCTGGGTTACACACCCACATACAACTGAGAGTTGCCTGTACAATTCTGCATAGCACATAGGCAACTTCCTTCTAGTTTATATTCATTGAGAGCTCTATGAGTGCACACTACTAATCTGATTGACTTTTCAGAGAAAAGAGAAGGCTCAGTCTGAGATACTGCTCTTCAAAATTAAAATTCAATAGAACTTCTCTGCTTTTGTATACTTCAGTGATTTTGAGTGTGAAGAAATCAGTGACTTAAATCAGCCATGATCATAAATGTACTCTGGCCATGGCCATTAAAAACAAGACAAGATGACATTTTGCAATGCATATGCAACAAATCAGAGATTGATATTATACACCCAGACTTTGTGTGAGTGGGCTGAAAATAGTTCATATTTTTCTTTTAGAAAAAAAGTATGATGAAGCTATTTGTTGAAATGGATAAAGCCTTTAACTATCCAGTGTGGAAAAAGAAGAGGAACTTTAAAAATTGCTCATTATAAATAGTAAACAGTTTCGGTGGTGTTTTTGTTCAGCTGAACTGTGTAATTATATAACTCTATGATGATCAAAGAAGTGTCACAGTAAATAAGTTAGATTTTTTAGTAGTCTAGAAAGGAAATAAGTAACAACAATCTTCAGACATTTGAAATTAAGTAATTACAGTAATCTACATGTTTTATAAAATTTAGGTAACAAAATAATTATTTACATTTTCTATACTTACTGATTCATGTACTTAAAGAATAATGTCTTTAGATAGTGAGTTGGCTTTTGCAGCCCAATGAGAGACTTCTTTGTATCACAGGTTTTGTACTATGCTTTGTCTGTAATAAGCACAAGAGATATAAAACCAGAATTTATCTGATATCAACTTCAAACTCTGCATTAGGTACAGAACTTCTCCAAATGGTCAGCATATTACTGTCTCCAGAGATTATTCAAAACTATTCTGTGCTACTTCACAAGAATTCTACTTCGCCTTTTTTAAACAGCAGTCTGGTCAAACGTGTATTTATTTCTATTCTATAACCCTCAAGTTCAGGCATGCTCACATCCTTATGCAAATTGAAGAAATTTCTAGAAATAGGAAGTTTTGCCCTATAATAATCTTGATGAGTCAGATTCTTGAGATAGTGTAAAAGGGTGGCGCAGATATTCAATGACTGCTTTAGGCAGAAGGTGGAAGAATGCAAAAAGTATTCATCCCTGTTTAGGAGCCGTTTAAAATCCTGCAGTCTGGTGTCCTGTAGTGAGACCATCTTCTGTGGAACTGGCCCACTACAGGCCTGCAACCTGCTCATGTTGAGTTTAAGCTGGACTTTGGCTCAGTCTGAGATACTGCTCTTCAAAATTAAAATTCAATAGAACTTCTCTGCTTTTGTATACTTCAGTGATTTTGAGTGTGAAGAAATCAGTGACTTAAATCAGCCATGATCATAAATGTACTCTGGCCATGGCCATTAAAAACAAGACAAGATGACATTTTGCAATGCATATGCAACAAATCAGAGTTTGATATTATACACCAAGACTTTCTGTGAGTGGGCTGAAAATAGTTCATATTTTTCTTTTAGAAAAAAAGTATGATGAAGCTATTTGTTGAAATGGATAAAGCCTTTAACTATCCAGTGTGGAAAAAGAAGAGGAACTTTAAAAATTGCTCATTATAAATGAGTTTTGGTGGTGTTTTTGTTCAGCTGAACTGTGTAATTATATAACTCTATGATGATCAAAGAAGTGTCACAGTAAATAAGTTAGATTTTTTAGTAGTCTAGAAAGGAAATAAGTAACAACAATCTTCATACATTTAAAATTAAGTAATTACAGTAATCTACATGTTTTATAAAATTTAGGTAACAAAATAATTATTTACATTTTCTATACTTACTGATTCATGTACTTAAAGAATAATGTCTTTAGATAGTGAGTTGGCTTTTGCAGCCCAATGAGAGACTTCTTTGTATCACAGGTTTTGTACTATGCTTTGTCTGTAATAAGC